CCAGTTCCCGACACTAAATGGACGCATCTGTTTGAAGCAAAATATTATATCATTCATCAGATTTAAAGATTAACGCCACTAAAGAAATTATTTTATTTAAAGATTAAATTAAAACTAGTTACTGCATCAATTTAATCAAGCACAATCTCATTTAAAATTAAAATCCAGCGCCTTATCAATTAAGAAAAGTTATTCTAAATGTATTAATGTTATTATACATATAATCTGATTTGTAATAACATAATTAACAGATTCACACCATTTACAGAACTGTTTATGTTTTACTCAACATTATAATATAGTAAAAGATTGTTTTCATCACGATGGGTGATAATATTTTTGATATCGAATGACAAGGATTGTTCAAAATAATGCTTTTAAGGTAAGTTAAAACTATTTTTCTTTTATATTTAATAAAACTAATGGAAGTCGAATGGTCGCAATTAGATCACACCTAATTCATTTAAATTAAATAGGAAAATAAATTTAAATGAATTATTTGTGTGTCAAACGTGTGGTAGTGTGTATATTATTTTTTTATACAGTATTAATTTTCTGCACTCCTTCTGTATATAAACTTTAACTGTTTAAATAAGCGGAAATAATATAAAATAATCGGAGCAATATGTTATAATTCGCTGTCATATCGCTTATTTTTTAAATAATATAGATAGATTTTTTTTGTAAACTTATTAATAAACAGATAATTTTCCTTATAGGTATTATTACATTTGAATAAATATATAGTTACAAATGAAAAACAACTTACATGAGCAGCATCCACCACAGTAACATCTTGTGACGCGACTTGCGAAACTAGTTGGCCAACCTGTTCTCCTGGACCCCTAAGACGGAATGATGCCGAGGTCCTAGCCAGGAACCTTCTATACTACGTCGGCTCTCGTTTGCACTTGCGCCTTGAACTTGAATTTATCTCGATCTTATATACAGGCTGTTCTTAAAACTTCACTGCTTTCTGTTTTGATATTATGTAAATATCCCATATATATAATCCCGTATATGTTTGTCAAGTTAGATGTGATATAAAGCCGCCAAAATGACATGCTGTTGATAACAATTAAGCAAAGTCTAGCATTTTTGTCGTATTATCAACTCGATGATTTTTGTTGAAAAAATAAAATAACCGGTACATAAAATATTACATAGTAGATAATAAATAAAATATTACTTCTGCATTCAGTAACTGCTATGGACTAAAATTACGTGTCATACATTGAACATATTATAATTACATAATATACAACAATGGAGCGATTTTTACGGTGTCATAAGCATAGTTCCGTCGTTTAATAGCAAGTTGCAATAGTTGAGATATTATAGAAATAAACTGCATTAGAGATCAGCCTGTATATACGCAGCGAACAGGTATGGGGTACCAATGACCTGTTTAACATAATCCTGCTCCCACGCTCCGACATTCACGATAGATTCTTGCACGCTCTCAAATGTGATTTGCTCTATATTTAGGATATTTGTTGTAGGTAAACATCAATGCGATACAGTTGGTACGTGAAAGAGTTAACCAAGCAGCTATCGAAGGACTCACGTGAATCAAATGACATCAAAATTTCCCACGGTTCAATTCGGATGGGTTTATCCCGTGATCTTATATTTTTAATACCTCCTAGAAAAAAATAATTTAATTCAGCAAATTACTAACGAGCTATTTTGACATCACGTAAAAATACCTATTCAGCAAATTTTACTAAAAAGCTACAGGCTAAGTTATGAAACTGAAATATTTTCTCCAAAAGTTAAATATTTCGAAAAAATAGAAAGGTTTTGGAACAATATTTATTAATTTAATCACGTACTGTAGATAATAGTGACTATAGAGTCAATGGGTCGTAGAGTCCTCGTACCTACCATGAACAACGATTTCAGTAGCACCTAGCTGATTTTTTAAGATTGACTTTATATGTCATATTCTAATAATATTATTATTGGTATTTCCACTGGAGAGTTAACTATAGAAATATTCTATTTTTTTTTGTTTTGGTTTTGGGCATATTTACCTGTCTGTCTCCACTATTTCAGCCGCCAAACAGATTTCATTATAAATTGTGAGATGTTATAAAAGTAAAATTATACTCTAAAGATATTTCCTTATATACGACACGTCAGTACTCCGGAATGGCAACTCACGATGTTTGACTACTAGGCCATGATGCTATCTTGGGGGCTTGTTTACAAAAAAAGAATATATTGTGTTTCGTGCAAAGCGGCAATTTGCTATATATTTGATCAATTGAAAAATATATGACCATTTGCCAAATTCGGTGGCAGTTGATAAGTGTGACTTAGGTATTCCACAGCAGAGTTCAACACCCTTGGATTAATTAAATACATTTTCTATAATATCTATTTAAATTGAACGAGTTCCATGACATTTGCATATTAATAAGTATTTTATTATTTTTTGTACTTTAAAATTACTTTATATCCTATATTTGATGATCAGATTAATTTATGGCCTGTTGTAACGAGTGCATCTAAACAGGTGTCCACGTGAAGTATTTCAATAACGGGTTTACCGTTTTATGTTGGAAATGTTAGAAAGTTTCCGGAAACCGACAAATAATTATGGAAACGTTTCACAAATACACTTTTAATTTATTTCTGAATTGTATAGTGTCAACACAATAATATTATATTTATGAGTACTATTGTCTATCCTCTTCTGCTGGCAAAATTCTTGCTTTGTAAGATACGTTTCAGTTGAAGGTTGATGTTCAGCATTCAAATTACAGGTTACGGAGGCATGATCGATATGGCAACGCATGAGAAATGTATGAGGGTCACATGCTCATACATGTTCATGTATGCATTATACCACCATGAAATAAAAAAAGAAAACAGGCTCAAGTTGTTTATCACAGTTAGACTGTAAACCTACCTCAATCTTGCCTATTTCAGAAGCGAAGTAACTTACTTTCTAACGTGTACATCGGTTCACAATTCAAGCTCAAACTTAGAATTATGTCTCTGGAATGGTAACGCGTGGCTGGTATCACGGTTGTCATATGCTAACATGTTGTAATTTATTATCTTTAAAAAACACATAATACTACAATGACCATATGTATATACTATGAAGTTTACGTGAAATGATATTCTCTGTATATCAGTGAATCTTTCCGCTCTAATTTAAATTTGACGCGGTGGATTTTGTTTTAAAAACTAGTTTAGTGTGTATTGCGCATACGACAACATAGAATTCCGTCTCTCAATTTCTCCTTTTTTTTAACAAACATAAAGAAAATTGCTACTGACGTTTTAGTTTTTTTTATATATATAACACGAGACAAGAGAAACAAGCATGCGGCTCACCTGATGGTAACTGATTACCGCCGCCCATGAGCAACACCAGGGGAATTGCAAGTACGTTGACGGCCTTTTTAAAAGCAATAAGCTCTTTTCTTGAAGGGTTCCATATCGTATCGGTTCGGATATACCATTGCTGGAAGGTTATTCCACAATGTGGTTGTGCATGGCAAAAAGTTTCTAGAAAACCGCACTGTGAAGGACCGTCATTCATCCAGATGATCAGGATGGTATTTTAGTTTCTGGCGGGTGGTACGATGGTGAAACTCAGCAGCTGGTTTTAATCCGAACAATTCCTCAGAACACTCCCCGTGATATAGGTACCCCTACCGTATGGTAGGAAATGTACAGAGATGCAATATCTCGCCGCAAAGCCGAGTCGAGTCTGTCACATGACGTTGATTACCAATGATTTTGGCTGCTCGGTTCTGCCAGTCGGTTGTCAGGTCGACTTCTAAGCATTAACACAGCCTTCCGTCTTGTAAAACTATTTTGCTTATTACGTTTAATTAGGTATATGATTCTACTTACTAATAAAATAATATACTCCACCTTTATTTGAATTGTATTTCTCGATGGAACTTGTATATTTAAGTTCAATAAGGATATTTTCCCAATCCTGTTCTTAGTCAATAAATTATAATAATATTAACTATTTAGGATTATTTGCTTTAAACTATAATAAACTGCAAGTATACGCAGATCACTATCGAAATTATTATTGTAATTTGTTATTATAGTTATAGTTCAGAACAAATTATGACAATGTTTCAAATAGATTGACACATTGTTTAACTAGGATTTCCTATTTAACAATGTACATTTAAGATGACCTTGTATATATACATATGTACTTACATAGATATATAATATATATACAGAAATGCGGGATATAATTTGAGTCAGATTTCAAAATTACCTATCGCATAAAGTTAAAAAGGTTTTCAAAATTACGTAACGCCAGAATTATGTAGTGTTAAATGATTTACCTATTCGAACACCAATTAGGTTACGCGTTATAAATGCATTTGTACTTACTGTTCTGTTGTACATTTGTTAACACTTTTGTATAGATACATATAGTGTATCTGCTAACTTAGGAAACCATGTTGAAACTGTTCGAACTCATATTTTTTTATTTATGGTCAGTGTTTTTATCTACAGAGTAAATATGAATGTATAAAAGACTCCTATTTCCGCATTTAGACCGTTATGCGTATAGAACGGAGACTAATGTAGCTCCTCTCAGAAGTGCGGAAGCTTGCTGGTTTTCGCAGATTTCTCGAAGTATAATCATGTGCGACCAGTGAATTTGTATACGTTCGGAGACCAGACTACTATGTGCTTCAAGATTGGGAAGTGGATAATAAAACGGCTTCGAAGCTGACTGAAAAATCGAGACTGAATGATGCTCCAGTAATACAAGACTCAGCGGCATACGTCGTTGCCACGTTTTTAAGATTCTGTCACGTTATATTTAAACTCAACGCAATGTGGATAGACTCATGGATTGTTAGTAATGTGGACTTATATAACCCCATTGCTAGCGATTTACCATGTCAGGTTGATCTCCACGCCAATGCCCCCTGGTAACCATCATAATACGATAAATTCACCTTTTCATCCTCCACTGGTGCCCCGCCATAACATCCCATATGGGGAAGTCAGTAGACTTGCCCCAAATGGGGATACCGATCGTGGGGGTCTATTATTACATTTTTTACGAATAATCTTTAAAATATATATTTTAAATTATTAATTTTTACAGTTTATCCCAATACAATATTATTGTAAATGCTGAAAGCACATGTGATAATTGTCTCATATTAACGGCTCTAATAAAGAACGGCAGTGTCGAGCTGGCTAGAAATTTATCGCAAGTGAACTCTGACAATTTTAAAGGAGTCGTAAGTTATTCAGGATTCATTACCGTAAAAGAACAGTACAATTCGAACATGTTTTTCTGGTATTTTCCTCATCCTGAACAATCGAAAGAAACACCATGGATCATTTGGCTACAAGGAGGTCCTGGTTACTCATCTTTATTCGGACTTTTTATTCTTATTGGTCCTATACACTTAAAACATGACAAAGGTACTCCACTTGTAAAGTTTGATTGAATGAAACATCAATATCCAACAAAATTATATTAATTTAAAGAATTTCATAAACATTGCAGTTCAGTTGAGAAATATAACTTGGGCAAATGACTACTCTTTATTATTTATCGATAACCCAGTTGGAGCCGGCTTCAGTTTTACTACTGACTATCGTGGTTATATCTCCGATGAAGATGCTGTGAGTACTTTACATTTTACACTACTTAACTGAATTTTTCTATAAATGTTTAATAATATATAATAATTTAATATTAAAATTATATAATAATTTTAGATTGGGGAGCAACTTTACGAGTTTCTCCAACAGTTTGTCCAAGTATTCCCTGAGCTTCACGATGCACCACTGTTTATTGCGGGAGAATCGTATGCAGGAAAGTACATTCCAGCATTAGGAATACAAATTCACAGACACCGTGAAAAAAACCATCACATTAATTTAAGGGTAATTATAAGTATTTTTTTTTATTAAGTACCAATCATTTGTATACTAAAATAAGTAAATTTCAACTATATGGATAGTTGTTATTTTCTAACGCACGCAGACCGCATTACCTCTCCGAATTGCTATATATACTTATAATGTATTTATGCTATGCATATAGAAATCTATTTCTTTTGTGAATTATGCTTCTAGTAACTAACGCAACTATATTTTAGGGTATGGCTGTTGGTAATGGTTTAATAGATCCACGGAGTATGATGCATTACAGTGACTTATGCAAAGCATTAGGTATCCTAGATACAGTACAACTCAATAAAGTAAAAGAATTGGAAACAAGTATAGTAAAGTTGATAGATGAAAATAAAATTGTTAATGCTTCTAATGTAAGTATGTAAACTTTATTATGTCTTTATATGGCAAAACTTTTTTAACTACTAATCTATCTAATTCATAGTCGAAATGACTATTCATAACTTTTCCATACTTTACAGAAATTTAACGAAACTATAGAATACATCAAGAAACAGAGTGCTGTAAATATATACAACTTTCATAAAGAGCCTGATGTAAACACTACACAATTTGAGAGATTCGTTAATAGGGCTGACGTTAGGAATTGGATTCATGTTGGAAACGCCACGTATAATCTAAATAATGAAATAGTCTACCAAAAGATGTTACCTGATATTATGAATAGCACTAAACCATTCGTGGAAGAATTGTTGGAACACTATGGATTCCTGTGTTACAGGTGAAACTTGTTATATTTTTCTTGTATTGAAGTACTGTCAACAGTTTATTGAATCTAAGTTTTTTAACGCATTAACATGCATCTGTAGCGAAGCGGAATGACAAACCACGCTGTATATCTTCAGACCATTATAGCAAAAGTTACGTTTTTGTTTATAAGACTATGTAATATTATGTCACATGTGATAATATTAATTAACGTGCTTATATAAATTTATTCTTAGGAAACTAACTCAATTGGACATTGAGTGAGTTAGAGTTAGTTAGATATACAGCGTGGTTTGTCATTCCGCTTCGCTGTGCTGTGGATTAAGTACTAATTTTGGGTACATGAATTACATGAATACGAAATGGTGCACCCAATGGTGATAATGTGATGGCTTCCAGGGTTGACCGCGTGGAGGTCCTGTCATGATGCATGGTACAAGCCGCCACTATTTTCCATTACTAATTCATTCCCACCTGTTGAGAAGTATTAAAGTTTGTACCAAGAGTGTACGTAAACTGTTAATTAACGATATACGCTCTACCTTCTACTGCGAAGGCAAGGCGAATTGTCTCGTTTGTAGAACATTTAGATTTGATGTTCCCAGATAAAATTTATTTAAACAGATATACCTAGAGTTATATATATATAAAGTTTTATTGTACAGAATACTTTTCTTTAACAGTGGTCAGCTCGACTTGCTTTTGCCGTACAGCTTGTCTAAATATACGTATCAAGAGCTGAGCTGGTCTCGCCAAAAAGAATACAGGAGTGCACCAAGGAAGCGACTTCGCCAATACCCGAGTCAAGCACTCGTGGGGTAAATATGATAGGAAAACTGTTTAACTCATTTTTACTAACTTTGAATAATAACAAAATACAGTTTTGAGGAATCTTTCCCTAAACTTCGTCAGATCTACCGTATTTTGTTATTACTATTTTTTAATTACTTTACATGAAGATACCACTTCGCCAATTCTGAAATGCTTTTTTATTAATAGAGAATATTTCTATTTATATTATTCTATACTCTGTTGGAACTGCATATTAATTTAACATTATGATTTATTATATCATTAAAATTCTGATTATTGAAGTTGTTTTTTGCAGTTGGGGAAACAATATTATGAATGTAATTTTACAACTACATTTATTTCAAATTGATACATTGTTTTAGGTTTAAAAAGTACGGTGGAAATTTTATGGAAATACTAATACGGGGAGCCGGCCACATGGTGCCTCTTGAACAACCGGATGTTCTGAAATTCATCATGGACAGTTTCATTAGTCAATTCACATCTTAATTGTTGCATTTTAATTGAATGAAAATTTTACATTAAAATAAAATTTTACATTAAATAAAATTTTTATCATATTTTTCTACGTTATACAAATATAGAGAATAACGGTGGAGGTATTGCTTTTTTTATGAAACTTGAATAGCTATCATACTGATATCCCACCTGATGGAAAGTGGTAACCTTATAAAGCACACTGTAATATGAACGTCACAAAAAAAATTGTGACGCCCGAAGTACCGTTTGCATTGCCATTCTCAGAGATTAAAGTGTTCTATCTGCGAAATCTGATATTTCACTGTCATATCCTTAAACCAGAACAAGCTGATTGGGAGTGTTAATAGATAGGTCAGCTCTTCTGTATGCAAACAATGAAAAAAAAAACAAAATACCTAATTATTTTTTTTTATTAAAAAACATTTATGATTTACAAAGACACCTGTATTTTTGTTATACACTTAGTTTCTATTGTAAGCCTCGAATTTTTATATAGTTATAAAAAATACAAGCTAATTTTATCACAATTTATATCATCAATTTTTATTTAATTATTATGAGATTTGCGTTTAATTTAGAATACGTTGATTTTCAGCAACCCAAACTTCGAAAATCTTCATTGACATCTTTAGAAGTCATACAACAATTTAATATTTCAAATATTTTTTGTTCGGAGCTAGAGAGATTCAATTCAATTACAAAAAAAAATATTTATAAAAATTACTTACTTCTTACTTTATTTTTGATTTAAATTAGGAAGTAATGGATTTTGATGTCCAATGACTAGTTTGTGCAGTAACTCTATTATGGTTTGTACTTACATACCATCTAATGGTTGTTGCCTATAATATTGATTTATTCCAAATTCTTCAGTTTCAAAACTAGTTAAAAAGCAGAGCACGAAACACGTTACACACAATATTATATTTCGAAAATACTATATTTCTGATATCTACTATATTTCAGAGTGACTATAAGTTCTACTTAATTTGGAAATAGACGGCGCTATGTGATATGTCCACAGTTATGTATTATTATCTCTCTTTCTATCCTTAAAACACTAACTGGGATTGTACTTATTAAAAGATTATTTGGTATATGCACCTATTTAAATTAGTCTACCAATATTTTTCTCCATGTATGATTCGTAGTAAATACTATGTCATTGTTAGTACGCCATCAGAAATAGAGGAATTATCATCTACAACCTCATAAAAATATGATGTACTTCGTCTTTTGAATCGCAAAATGTATATCACACCACCAGCAATTATCAACATTAATATGGCATTAATTATAACACTGACTATCAAGGCCGCGTTTCCATATGTAACTGTTTCATTTGTTTTTATGTCTGATACGTTACTTATTACTTCACCAGATTGTAATTTTGTAGATGTACTATTATAAACATTGTAATTTTGTGGTATAGGCAAATTGAAATTTCTAACAAAGTAGGAAATCAATTTCTGGGTTTGTTCAGGTTTATCAATTGGTACAAGGTGTCCTGCGCCGCGCACCAACACTTCAGTTAAGCCTCCACCACTCTTGACGTAACTATAAAAACAAAATAAGTTGTAAATTATTATACATACATTTTCGATTATATCTATCTATCAAAATAAATAGCACAACATAATATAAAAGAATTTTTCTAAAGTAGGGCGATTAAGCATGCAGTCCTGATTGTAAATGTTTGTCACAATAAGTTACGGCACCTGCTACAACCAAAATATTGCAGGTATTGTCTATATTTTAGGAACATTTGAGCTCTCTTCTTGAAGGTTTCAATAATATTGTAATATCGCATTTTATTCTATGAGCCCAATAGACTTAAAAACAATGTAATAAAAGAAATATACATTTATATATCCCAATCAATTGTATATATTTTAATTATAAATTATAGAAGGGATAACAGTTATTATCTTACATTGTTACTCTGTTCCCTTATTATTAAGTAGCGTGATAGGTCCCTCACCGCTATAGCGTAAACAATATTACAAGTTCATGTAGGCACAACTATTATAGCAGCGAAATTCTACCTTCATTACTGTCTTGGAATATGTTTAAAAGTATTATATTATATAAGTAGAATTTACCTCTATTATTGTTAAGCTATACTCTACTCTAAAGCTCTGTAAGATCATTATTAGATAAATACAACAACCCACTGTCGTCCCGCTACTGGGCACGTTCACTTGGCACTATTTCGCGTTTTTGATGCTAAGTGCGTTTCTGGTCTCTTACAACAAGTAGATGGAAAAGAATTGGAGATGAAAAGGACTGTGTGTCATTTGAAGTGATATTTGATATATTGGTTTGTTCGGAAAATAACACATTTTTATTTCGGAAATGAATGTCAAAATATTTATTATAAATGAATAAACCAGGCCTTTCAAGTGATCATAAACAATTGAATTCGATAAATTTAACCTCTTACCGATCTTACATGTTGTAATTCGGCGATTTGCTTTAACTATTGCCTTTATCCTGTCTTTTTCTTATATTACGATGGTACTTTATATGCTTCTAGCATACGATTAAAGATCGTGAATGTCATATATCTTACCCAGCCACACTGTCGTTATACAACACCGGCGTTCTCGGTGCATTCATGAATTTGTCGCGCTGACTCCAAGCCCATGAGCGACGGCGTCCTTCAGCATTCAGAACACAAGGGGCAACAGCATCCAACTGACCACTGCAATTATGTATGTGGGTTTGTGTTATACTCGTAATATAGCGTGACTGCTCATATTAGACTATTTTATATAAGTATATTTATTTCAGTTGTTTAGTCCCTACTCCTCTGTTTGATACTGACTCTATATTTGTATGTGATATATTTATGACTGTTCATTCAAAAAGTAATATTTCATGTTATTACCCCATAAATAAATTGCAAAGGGCTTAAAATACTTTGACTTAAATACTTTATTTATTGCACGTCCGCTGCTACTTCAGACCCGTCACTCTTCAGGTTATATCGGTCGCTTTCAGATTCTACCCAGGCCTCCTATTACTAGTTTATATTATTAAAAACTTCAACATACCAGTATATTAAAATCCTGTAATTCTCCAATAGAGTTTCCATTTCTAACGTATTATTGCTTAGGAAATCGGATATTAATTTTTCAAACACAGTTTCATTTGAAAATGCAAATTTAATGGCGCCGACATGTATGGCTTGTTTTATTTCGTTTCGGTCGACAAAAGATATAAATTGATCCACATTTATTGCATCTTTCAAAATATTGTAACTTTGTTTTTGCAAAGTTATATTTTCCAATTCGTTCAACAACTGCTCACGTAACTGAAATTAATACATAGATAGTAAATATATATATTACATACATAAATTAAAATATTTTCTTATATGTTATCAAAGTTACTTCATTATAATAATTAAACTTCGTTAATAATAATAGTATAAACACTGAAGTAAACTAGTGCCAACAGCCACATATTTTTCTTATGTACATAAACCTTGTAGACATTTTGCTACCATATCGGACTGGAGTACAAAAAAAACTCGATTAGTGACTTTTTTGCACTCCTCATACGCTAACTTCTCCTTCAGACGCTAACAACTATGTATTACTTTTGTAATAATTTGTCACATTAATTTAAAGGTATTGTAGTCTATTGTGTTGTGTGTTGAGTTCTATTTCCACATAGACTATAGTCTATGAGTACATTATTTCGTAAATTTACCCTTCATAAGATTGTATGACTAAAAATAATACTATAATACTTACACTGCTTGCTAATTTATAATTGTTGTCTGTTATAGCTTTCAAATAAGCATCTTGTAAAGGTTTAACAATTTGAACACCGTTTGAATCAATCAAACCCCATTCATAATATACTTTGGTGTAATCGGCTATGTCTTTATGATTGAACACTGGGTTCCCCAACATCAGACCCTGAAATTTATAAAATTTATATCAACCACCTTGCCATATTCAACATTGCAGTCGTCGCAGATATAGGTGCATATCAATACAAGCATATCTTAACTGTGATACTGGTAAGTCAATTTGAAATAATACTTATATAAGTATTTTTATATCATGTGTAATAAATATGAATAAAATATTGGTATGACTTATGGATACTGTATCTCTCTTAAATAAATCACTACTTACATACGTTTTAATGAATAAATACAATTATAATGTAATAATTTCAGTATACCCTTTTTTTTTTATAAAATATCTGTATTATATCGATCAGTCGATCGAAACATTATTTTTGAGGTGAAGTGGTTTGTAGTAAGTAGTAAGAGTAAGTAAGAGTAACTTCTCTAATGACCCAAATCTACTTGAGATTTATTTTATATATATTAGGTTTCTTATCAAGACCTGGATCGGAGTATAGATGTGAACCTGTAAGACGTGGACATTGACTCAAAAGGAAACGGGCAAACTGGAATTTTAAATGTAGTATTAGAGAAGGATGGTAAGAATTTCTTGGATATTAAAATTATTGATAATAGGCGGAGAAAAATGTTGGAGCACTCGTTACCGCATGACGAACTTATGAATAGTAGAAGGAAAGAGAGGAAGGGGAAAATCAAGACACAGCATCAAGCAGATCAAGGAAAAGTTGGAGTCGTGTAATTTCGACTACTAAAGAGATTGATGGAAAATCGTGTCTCTTAAATTATGAATGAAAGTTCTTTCCCTACTTAAATCTCATTGTATACGAGTATATACTTTTTTCATAGATACCTGTAAATTAACAGGTTCGTCCCGCTGCAAGTTGTTAGTCTGTAATATTTTGTAGGCGAACGCGGGCGCATATCGGCCGGCGTAAGATTCTCCTGCAATATATAGTGGCGCCTTGCGTAACTCCGGAAATACAGTCAAAAATTGTTGTAAAAGACTGTACAAATCCTCTGCGCACTGCAAGAAAAAGTATAAAATAATAAGTCAAAACTTTACTTTAAAATTATTCGTGTTACGACTGATAAATCATATTTAGAATTAATGTTTTGAGTTGCTGTTTTTTATATATGAAAAAAATATATTAATTAAATTAAAAGCCATTTGTTTACCTTATTCATATCTCTGATGAAACCGTCATCACTATTGGTAAAACTGAACCCAGTTCCAACCGGATTATCGATGAATAGAAGAGAATTGCCTTTCCCCCACGACGCGTCACGCACTGAAATTATATACCTGTATGGATATTCGATTATATTTTTATTTTATTGTTTTTCTACTGCCTTAAAAAAGGAGACAGTCTCTCAATGAAGTCCCTAAGTCCGAAACAAATAATACACAACATCGTAGTTTCACATATTTTTTTATTAAAAGAAAATAAGGTTGTGCACTATAAGTATACTATATAGGTATGCATATAAACTTTATTATGCATATGAATGCATACATGCATATAAATTTTATTAATATTAAAGAACCGTGGATAAAATAATATACTTACTCTGAGAGTATACAGATATCGTCATGGCATTTGTATTATAAGTAGCCATTTATTAGTCATACTATTTCCATAATCATAGTCTATATATTTTTGGATACTTACATAGAACATACTTAATCATATAAGTAAGTTCGGAACAACCAAGAAAGCTGGAGCCGATCATTAATTTAATAATCAACAAAAATATATAATTAATTTCTAATAAAATATGGTACTTACATTTCAATTCTTTATTGTATTCAAACGGCCCGATCTCGTCAAATACACCAGCCAGGCTGGTGGCCCCAGGTCCACCTTGAAGCCATATTATCCAAGGACTTTCAGTTACATTTCCTTCTGCTACAGGAAAGTACCAGAAAAACATGTTGGAGTTATACCGCTCGTCTACCGTTACAAAGCCTGAATAACTGGACACGTTCAGAAATAGACTCTTATCAACTTCTGACAAATTTCTAGCTTTTTCTGTTTCGTTTCTCTTGATGTAAGGAGTAAGTATTAATGCAGGAGATTCAGCGGCGATTACAATCACTGTATTTACTGCTACGCTGAAAGTACAAATTTAATATTGTATAATAATATGAATTGATATTATTAAAGTGAATCTTACAATGTTTCCTGCTTAATATTTGTTATTTTTTCAATAATTTATGCGTTTTAACCGTTTATGATTAACTAGCTGTGCTCTCAATTTCACCAACATGAAATATGTAGCCTATGTGTTATATATATATATATAAACTATATTACTGTAAAGTTTTATCAAAATCTATAGTGTAAAAACTATAGTATCTTGAGTATATCTACTCTATAAAAAAAAATATCTACATTTTCTAGGTAGATAGATAATCTTTTTATTACAGACAACATTAATGGTACAACCAATTATTTATAAAAATGTTATAAAATTTATCCACGTAAAATGAAAACAATAAATATAAAAAAATATTATTTTATATTTATTTTCTGACAGGAGTAGGTAAACTTGAATATTGATTGCATTGAATGATCCAGAATTGACAAGGAAATCACGTTACTCATGTATTTAATAAAATAATACATAGACACAGTCGTAATGAGAACTATACCGTGTTTATTGATATTCCACAAGTTTATCAACTAGAATGCAATAAGTAGGTACCTATCCCATTATAATGCATAAACCATCTCGAAATAGAATAATGCCAGATTGATAAGGCCGTAAGTTTACTCATGTAAACTTGCGGCCGTATCAATCTGGCGTTACTGATAACCTATACACAAGTAAATGGCGAATTTCCTCATTATTATACAGTTCATATCTCATTATTTCGCTAAGAATTCAGAACAGTTTGCATTCTAGTAATTTTAATTATATAATTATTTTTGTGGTGTAGATTTAATGGTTTGTCTAGTCTTTCTATAATCACGGGTTCAATCCCCGCACAACAAGTACAAAGATTAGTGTTCATCAGCAATTCATTTAGTGAAATTACGAGACTGGTCATCATCCTGTAACAACAATCTAATCCAACAACAACAAAGTCCAACATCTATCCTGTATAAATTATATCTATCCTATATTATTCTCAAATTTTAATAATGATTAATATTCCTTATTTTTTATTATAATTTCATATCCGTTGACAAAGCTGAGAATTACATCCAGGTACTTTTATTTTACACAAAACGAAAAAAAATAATTGACATTATTGGCCATATTGAATATTTGCAATTAATTTGGATAAACAGCTGATCTTATTCATCATCTGATTTGTTTCTGCTTTTCTTAAATTTTTTTAGTCTTATGTTGTATTATCATAAAAGTTGAAAGTTAATATGAGTCCTAACTATCAATGTGTGTGTGTGTGTAAAGTTGTATTATATATTCTATTCTTTTACGAAACTAAAAGGCAAAGTAACTGGTAAGCGTCGCCTATATTCATGGACAATACCACGGACATCATGTTATGATATAATTCCCGATGCTTGGTTTCAGAAATAAGAAAGACAGAAGTACCTATGCTTTTTATAAAGTCGATCTCGCTTTAAAGAAGTCGTCAGTACCTACTCTATTGCTCAAACTTGTGTGCATTAGCGACGGGAAAGGGAGAATTTGAGCCACTGAAAATCTTTACGGCCATTTCAGGTAAAAAAATACAATATGTTTTTCGTTCTTCAGCGAAACTTAATCAAATTTAAAAAATATGAGCTGCTTGTACAATTTTTATTGCTTTAATAGTTATCTAAGTTACACAGCGTCACGTGCATTTTAAGGTATTATATACAAAAATAGGCATATAACTAGGTACTTAGCATTCGTTAGATAAAGATTTAAATGTGTAATATTCCCTTATCTGTAAATTAAGGATATCGTTACATCAACGGAGCCATTGTGAATTTATAGGCATGGTGTCAGATTCTACATAATGATTAGATAACAAACTCCTGAGTACATAATTTTGCTCCTTTAGAGCACCGTAAGCGTTTTTTTTTAATATTGAACTGATGCCCGCTATTTCGTGTGCTTAGGATTAGTAATTGCAGTAGTCATTTTAATTTTTACGTGACTTTTATATCATTACTTTGATAATTAATTGATTCCTCTTTCCTTAACTTTGAATTCACCCTTTCCAGATCCTCGTTATACAATATCTCTTCAAATCCATTAAGACGTTCAGCTATTTAGTCGTGATAAGGTAACAGACAGGGGCATTTTGTCACTTTTAATATTAACCGTTACCATCGACTTCATCTTACTTTATTCAGATAAAAGATAGGCTATGTTCGTCCTCATAATATAATTTACCTTTAGCTCTTTAATTAGGTTTTATCTATTCAGCGGTTTAGTCAAGAATTAGAATTAAAATAAACATAAGAAACACAGTAGAACTATAGTATATATTAGCACAGACGTATAATATTAGCACAGATAACATAATATTAGATTTGTGATTCGCAACGTGCCATGAAATATTTATTTCACAGCCAAATATAATTCAATGATTTTCAGAGATGCATAATACTTAATTAGTGCAAAGACAACTAGTTAACGTGCCGTTCATATATCTGCAAATATTCATGAGGTTCCTGTTTACATCAGTTTCTATTTGTGCATATCGAAGCATTATGAGAATTATAAGCGACAGCGAATTACAAGCGGAGGGCGGGAGGAGTGTGATTGTGAAATTTGCATGCATCAAATTGTCCATTGTACTCATTATATTAATTAATTTTCAGATTAAATATTGAAATGATAACTCAAGTACTTTTAAGTGGATCATTGGCTTGTGTAATAGAACACACAAGTATATATAAAATATTGGCTGCCCCGCGAACTTCGTTCCGCCTCAGAATTGAATAATATTCTTTGACTAAATGGCATGGCAAAATAAAATAATTCTTTTTACTACTTTCCATACAATTTCTTAATATTTTCTCACCACGTAAACCTTCGTTGGAGTTCTACAAATATTTCAAATCCAAAATTAACCAGTACGGACCGGCCGTTCTCGAGTTTTAGCAAGATTAACAAACGTCATTTAATTTTTATAAAAAAGAGAAGACTATCTAGCGTGATCGACTGATGTGATTATAGCATCTATTGATATATTAGTATTGTATTAAATTCCTTTTACTATACACCATGTATTAGTAGTGTGGAAGGTATTATTTGTATTAGGAAATTTGACCCAATTGCTACTCCAGGATTTCCCCTCAAATTGCCTTACCGTGATAAGGAAACTTTGGGTGAACAAAGGTGTGCGGGGCTGTGTAAAAAACATTAGGCAGTTAAAGGTAGTGTAAGGTACTTTTACAAACTCTAAAAATATGAACGTAAAAGCCTTTTCTTGGTTAAAACACCATTTTTCTCAAACTCCTATAAATTAAATAGAACTGCTGCAAATTAAGCGGCCTAAAAAGTGGGTCGTCAAAGTATAGATATCTTAAAAAAGAAATATTCCAATAAGAATGAATTTTCCACAAAACCTGAAGTTTTAGGGGTATTTTGGCAGATATATATATTTGGACAATACCAGGCAGTTATCTGGTAACACAACCATATTAGGTCGATCTCCACATGGTTCTAAAAGTGCTCATATCTAGTTTATTTGAATTATTATTAATTTTATTGTATCCTTTTTTACTTAAAGGCCTATACCTAAAGAAAAACAGTAACGTGTTAAACCGCTATAAAACCAAGGTCGCTAAACAGGTAAATAAGTTTGAATCTAGTACTTTTTATAGCGTAACTATTGAACATATTTTGATTTTCTCTATTTTCTTAAGTATAGATAAGTATGAATATTATTTTGTACCTACATCTTAATACATAACAATATTTGTACTACTAATATACGATTCAAACTAGGTATACTTACCGAGCGAACATATGTTGTGTTCAATATAACTTTAACAATTGACAATGCCTCTGATTATTCCATCTCGAATAACAGTCGTGACGTTATGTTATGTTGTTATACTTATTAGCGAGATATAGGAAAATAAGAATTTTCCTATTTCTATATAGCTATATTATAATAGTATGTGTTGGTAAGTAAGTGTTATGCTTTATCGTTTTAGGTATAGTTGTTACATGTAGGTAGGTATTTTTTATATGCAATATTGCACATAAAAAAATAACCTATGATATTTTCATATCAGCAAAAATCTGTTTATGTTATGTTCTGTTACGGAATTAACTGTTCAATAACATATGGCATACGTACCTAAACCATAGGAAAAATGTGGCTCCAAATATATCCATTTTCTTTGAATTGAAATCGCCGGTGCAGTAACATAAACAACTTTATAACTACGTACTTTCTATGTATAAATTACAACCTGGTCACTTCACAACGATGCGGATAAAGTTCCTGACCAACGACGCTGTTTATAGAAAGTTAGCTTGTAGATTCATTGTCAATATTGTTGGAGTATTTAAAAGTACAAGTGTTGTAAACACGACCACGCGCCGTCTGGGGTCGTGTTCGCACAGCGTACTAAAGTGAATTGCGTTGGAATGCACGATCATGGCAACCCGTCGCCACCTCTGACTCAGTTCACTGGTTACGTCATAGCATTTGTATGTAACTTATCCTTATAACCTATGCTTTAGCCTATCAAAAATATGACAAGAACATGTCCATTCTCTTAAAGTTATATTTGAGTAGACAATTGCCCGTCTGAACACCCACAATTTGAAGACCACTAAACTACAGAGACTTAATCCACTTTCTCACATTCTGAAGGTCGCAGGTTCGATTGGCGCTCAACACGGCGTACAAATCATTAGTTCTCAGAAATGGCAATACATCGGACATTACAGTACAACTATTTTGTAGTATCCCATGTCGCTCCACATGAAATTTACCGTCACTTGGACGTTAGCTAGGACAGAAAGGAGTGATCACCCACCCACTCACCCATCACTACCTATCTAAGACTAAATTAGTTTTCAACAAGAACTGAAAAAAATTTGTTTAATTTCATAACTATTTAATTCAGTTTTAAAACCAGTATATTTCACACATAAATTTTCATTTCAACATTTCAAATTTAACAAACGACAAGATTTTGTTAAATTTAAAACGTATCTGTAACAAACAACAAACAGATTGTCAATTTAAATTAGAGTTGTAAATATGATATTGCTTATTTAAATTAAATAGATACTTATATATTTTTATGGGTTCACGTAGTCTTCATGTGAGTAGTCCTGTGCAGATATGAAATTATTATTCATGATAACGATTGTTTTAATGAAAGCTTCTCAATAATTGAGCATAGATCCATGAACATCTCGATTGGTCAACCGATGAATAAGTTCTCAGAAGATATTAGTCCACGTAAGCAATCATACTGCAAACGGCGACTTGTGAGGGCTTAAAATGTCTGTGCCTAAAATTGATTGATTGACATCCGCTTTTACAGTAGTCCACGTCATTTTTAATTATGCAGTAATAACTGCTTCTAATTTTACTTTTAAAGTAGGTCATTGAACTTGATCTGTATATCACCCATTAAAAAATCACTACTAGAAAGGGAAGACGAGAACAATAGTGATGAAGCCCAATTTGCTGACAAAATACTTTGTCACGTCATTACCTGTTTCGAAATAAAAAGGAAGGAAGATCCTATAAAATAAAATATAACAGAGTTTGTATTTATATATTTACTTAATGTTATTCATAAATTAATTAAATCAAACAAAATTTATTTGTATTAATTTTAATACTACATTATAACCTACATTTACAATACTCTTACATAATATTACAAATAAAAGAAAACAGTCGTAGTAAGATTATTTAAAAATATTTTTATAAACGATTAAGCCCAATACAATAGTGTATCCTATATTATACATTTTTATGTAATCCATTCCATTTAAGCGTCGAAAAGACAAATCATCAGACAAATACATGTAGATATGGTTAGATATACACACCACTACGGACATACGTAGCTCTGACCCGGGTGAAGGGTGCGAATAATATATATTTTTTTAAGCCAAAAGTAGGTTTTTGCAAAATTAAAATATACTTACTATACTACGCATAATGCATTGCAGTGTACACGTTTACATTTTCTGTGCACCTTCGAGAGAAACCTGACATTCATATTCAGTCTACTAGGAACAGAATGCAGTCTAGTGTATTTGAAATCTTTGTTTCACTCTACAACCCATAAATTATAGTTATAAGCTCTCTATAAAATTTAATGACGTTGTATTTTTCGCTCTTGTACAATTCGCTCATGGCATGGTCGAGCAAAGAAGTTTACACAAGCGTAATATATGATATCCAAAATAGCACAAGATAAATACACACACCGCAGTTCAACCCCACGATGAGCAGTTTGACTGTTTCTCATAAAGTCTCACCGTGTTACTTACACGTTGCAAATTACTTTCGCGAAAGGTGTGAGTTAATACGCAGAACTTCATTTGATATTAGAAGTATATTTATACGGTATATTTGTTTAGTTGTCGTCGTGCTAAATTATTAAATTCTGTAAGTAACTAATGAGGATTTGCTTAGTAACGGAAACAACGGGCGAGGCAACAAAGGAAAGAAAACGATAAGAGAAAACAATGAAAAAAATCCGGTGAATCCAGTTACTAAACGGCAAAAACCTGAGTTTGTCTATGAGCAGATTACTCAAGCATAGAAGAACTACCCCATCCTTATTTACACCCAAGACCTAGTGTCGGGAAGTCTCGTTATAAACCGTAATTAAACATTCAAGGAACGGAGTTACGAGGGAGATATTGAACCTAAGCATTATACGTCATAAATGTGTGTCAAAGATAATGTGCAATTGAATAGTTCTTCACAAATTCGCGGGCAATGAAGTCACTGTAGTCCTCGAAGGAGTGTGTGAGGTTGTGGTGAATCCAGTGCGCCACTAGATACTGCGCGGGCGCCGGCGTATCCAACGGGACCATGTGACCGGCACCACGGATCGTCGCCTCCGTTAGCCCTCCGCCACTTTTGTAGTAACTGTGGTGCAGATACAAGATGTATTTGTTTACAACACTTAATTATTTTTTATCTAATTATCCGCCGCATACAAAATCAATATAAACAATCACATTCATGAATACAAATGTTTGTAGCATGCGAGGAATCGATCCCGCAACCATTGGAAGTATCTAAAGCAATGTACTAAATCGATAGACCACCGAAACCGCCATTTACATGAACGTCGTCATATGACGCCAGTGGTAGGCTAAAGTGTATCCATGTCTTAGTAGCTTTCTTAGTGTTAATAGCATATACCCCGAATTTTTCTTCTCCTTGTGATACCTCCCTCCAGTCGATCTCGTTTCTACACACTAGTAGAATAAACAAAAAAATACGTTTAGGGATACAAATGTTTGTATTGTACTGGATCACATCCGAGGCTATGAGCAGGTACAAGTACTTAACAATTTAATTAATTTAACATACCCGGACAGCTTATTGTTAAATATGTAAGCACTTCTAGTGGCGTTGAGAAATTCCTCTGCATGTTTCCATTTCCACGTGCGATATGTCTCAGATGCGAACACGCATGGCAACATCTGGTCCAACTGACCGCTAGAAATAATACCAAACGCATCTTAGTGTAGGTTTAATCTATTTAGAAGTCTATGTCATATTTGCATTATCTTATCGTTTATAGATCTAGAAGGAAGTGGTAACCGGCACTTATATTTATGGGCAACGGCATACAATGTTTATAGATGAGTGTAATTATTTCACTTTTCTAGGAATAACATTGCTTTGGCACGAGACGATATCCTATGTCGTATGTAACCGGCATAGGAAATAGTCTTATTGATATATATATTCATAATGCAGGATTACAAACAAAAATCGAGATCACAGAGTCCTAAATCCCGATCGCAGAGCCCAAACTCTTGCTCTTAGAGTCCCAAGTCCAGATCACGGACTTCAAGATCAACGTTCAAGAGCCCGAAATCACGTTCAGAAATTCCTAAATCGTAGAGTTTTAAAAGTCATTCGCTTTCTTTGTTAGCTAGCAGTAGACCCAAAAGTAAAAAATCTCGGTCTCATAATGGATCATCAAGGTACTAGAGTCCTGAGGCAAGACAAGATGTTTAGTTAACAGATCTAATTCCCCTCCTATATATATAAACAGAATTTATTGACTTACCAATATGCCAGAACTCTGTAATGATCGAGCAACGTCTCCAACATTGGCCTGGCGCTGCTCAGGAAGTCTGGCGCCATTTCAGTATTGACGGTGAAGTTCACGAAACTGAAATTTATGTCGCCGACGTGCAACGCTCGTTTCACTTCCGAACTGGCCAAGAAACTGACATATTCGCCGACAGGTAACTTGTCACGAAGAAAATTGTACGCTTGCTTTTGATGTGACATGTATAAGAGTATGGTCACTAGGCTGTTCCATTTCTAGAAAAATATCGTGCTTAAATAAATATTAGGGAGATAGCGAATCTAAACATTATAATATATAATGATAGAAGCCTCTTCATCGTAAGTCTTGATCAGACCGTTATTAAGTTTGATTGCCAAATTGCTTATGTAAGTGTTTTCAAATCGGTTAGGGAAAATTGTTCCGTACAATTGACACTGTTTATCATTTAATTTGGGACAGTACACTAATACATATAAATATGTAATTTTATTAAATACAACTCATTTTTTTAATTAATTTCATGAAAATATCAATCATCAATGTAAGTCATGAAACCACATTTTAAATTGGAATAGGTACCTATATTGTTTCTGTGTTTACATCATATAGGTAGGCTTTCACTTGGCATTCAGTTGATTGCTATATAGATTGAAAATGCTCACTGTGTTGGCATTATGTTATTTTCATCAATCTAAAACTAAACGTTTAGGATTTTTTATAAAACAATTAAAAAGGATTAAATCCATTCTCACTTGCTTAGCTTCGATGCTTCTGTTGGCTGCTATGTCTTGTTGAAATGCGTCGAAAAGTGGCTTCACAATTTCCAGCTGTTCATTCACCAACAGACCGAAATAATAAAACGGTCGTATCATCTGAGATATCATGGCTGGCTCCACATATGCGTTACCTATCATAATACCCTGCCATATAAGACAATAATCTTTCTTAAGCTAGCTATACAGTAAAAAAAAGGAAATATTTCATGCGACGATAAAACTACTAATAAGTAAAAATAAACAACTTGTGTAACGTGTAGAAATAATTAGGCATGACACGAGCGGTGGTAGAGTCGGTACCAGCACTGAGCACATAGAGGGCACGTGAGTATTTTAATATAGGTATACGAGTATATAAGATACTCAGAGAATATGAAGACACTGATAAAGTACTTGGTTTAACATAACTACATTTGTATAAGAATTTAATGAATGAGGAAGGTCGTGAAATAAGGAAACGTTACTGCGTTACATTTGTTTCCACTTTATTCGGATTTCTTCTTCAGCTTACCCTGAAGAATTGGATAAAACGACGAGTTCATTTCAGAG